TGCCTCCGGACACACCCTCTGTACATGGTCCTCTGTACATCCTCAGCAGACCTTGTTTCCGGGAAGTCCTCCTTGGCTCCCAACCTGCCATCCTCCTGCAGCGTGAGGTGTTCCTCGGGCACATACCAGCCGCTTCTGCTAAACTGCTTCCCGGCCTGTTGGCACGACAAAATCTGGGGGTCTTGGTGGAGCAGAACGTCAATAAAGTTGTGGAGGCAGCTGCTGCTTGGCCTGGATGGGTCTGTGGGCTGTGACTGTGCAGCCGTGTAGGGAGGTGGCCCCAGGCTGTGGGGCAGAGAGCAGTCTCCCCAGCAGACAGTGGTTCACTTAAGCAATCATCCTGAGGCTGGCCAGGCATGGTAGGATCGGGTGATACAGGGAGGGCCTGAGTAAGACCTGTCCCACTCCCAGCCCCTCGGGCAGCTTCTGCTCCATCTCCCTGTCCTGATTCTTCTCATCTAGGGCTAATTCACCTCCTCCAGGCAGGCAGGGGCTGAAGGGGAGTGACAGGAAACCTTGGCATTCTGGCAGCTAGCTCCCAAAGCATGGGGCATTTCCAGCTCCCAACTTGCTACCATCTGTGTCCTGGGCTGCCTACAGGGAAGGCAACGATCCTGGGTGGGCAAGTAGGCATCCTGATACAGGTGGGCAGCTGCAGGTCTTGGCTAAGGCACAGTGGGACTTACTTTACGAAGTGGGTTCCTGCTCAGCCCTCAGTACAAATTTTAAACATCCAGCAAGGACAGGACCCACCCCAGGCTAATTCCTCAGGGGTGAGACACTAGCCAGCTAGTCGGCCACATCCAGCCCTCACTCCTTGACGGAAGCAAGGAGCTGCCCTGAGCCTCAAGTCTCCTCTACCTGGTTCCTGCATGAGGGTGCTCATTTGTCCTTTGGGCCCCCATGAGAACGTGCAGCCTGAGGATGGTGGGCAGGACCCCGAGAGCTGGCCCTTGGCATTTGGGTGAGCCAGGCTGAGACTCCCCTCCCCATGCCTTAGGCTCCTCAGCCTGGTTCCCAGGCCCCAGCAGACGCTGCCCTGGCAGCCTCCCAGCTCCTCACCCAGACAGGTGTGCTCAGCCCTTGCACAACCTAGTAACACTACCTGAGCACAGCAGGGCCCAGAAGCCTTTGCCCCACACCTCGGTGAATCCCTGATGAGTGGGTGGAGAGGGGCCACAGGGCATGAGCGTCAGAAGTCCTGATATCACCTGTGGGCTGAGACTTCCAGGGTCCGGGGCAGGGTGGTGAGGCTGTCAGACATGCCCGAGGAAGGCGAGGAGGGTGCGCTCAGCCTGATGTCCACAAACAGCAGGCACTTTTCTCCCAAGGGACTGGGAGAGCCATTGCTTAGGGAATGCCACACTTGGTAGAGGGTGCAAACCTATTCTGCTGGACACTGTCCCCCTCCATCATTCCCCCCCCCCCAGCAGAGGCAGACCTGCATGCAAGCTGAGGGAAGCCTGACTGAGGCTCTTCCCCACGCTGGTCTCACAGGTTCTGCAGAGATGTGGTAACAAGAAGGGCCTGACCTGGTTCTCAGGGACCTCTCCTCAATGAGGAAGGAATGCAACTTCACATCAGACCCTGGGCTGGCTTCACAGGCACTGACTGTCCAGAAGCCGTGGGAGGAAGGCAGACACTCCATGAGTACGTTCCTCTGAGGGTCGTGAGTAAGTTACTCAGATGGAGGGCAGGACCCATGTATGATTCGACACTGGGGTCCTCACATGATCCTTCCAGGCCCCAAAGAAGAGTACTGGGCCATCCTTCCATCTTCCAGATGAGGAAGGGTCAGAGCCGCGCCAGGGACACTGGGGTCCCAGGTTGGCAGCTGCAGAGCTGAGGTGACTCTGACTGCCCTAAGACCAGACTCCTGTTTGGATAAGGTGTGGAACTCTATGGCCCTCCTCATGAGAGGGAGGAGGGCAGAGCCCTGCCCCCAGCAGGCAGGGCTTACTGCTGTTTTTCACACTGGTAATTTCCCTCTAGGGAGGCTTCAACTCCTCTGAGTGCCAGGGTTATCTCTAGGGAACATCTCCCTCTCAGCACACCCTCTGTTTTCCCAGCATCTTATTCTATAATCAGACTCCCCAGTGGAGAGCACTCCAGGCCACCCCCACCCCTCTCATCATATGCCCATGATCTCTGGCGAGGTTCCTCTTCTAGCTGCAGTTTCCTGTTGCAGGGGAGCCATAGGGACCTCTAACTGTCACCTGCCTCCCCCAAGTCCCCTCTGAGGCATAGTGCCCACCTCTGCTGAGGGAAGGGAGCCCACTCAGGCTGGGTTGCGCGTGGAGGCTTTGTTGTTTGTTGTTCCTGTCTTGCTGTCCCAGGGTTTCTCACTGAGAACAGAGGATGACTTCCGGTCTAAGTATGTGTGCCTGGTGAGGCACGGACTCTTACATGCCTCTTCTCAGTCATTCCCTAGTCCTCCATGCCAGTCCTTCTGACTCCATAATTCAACCAGACTCGCAGACTGCCGAGCGCTGTGGAACCCAGTCACTGCTCCTCTCTGAGGCTGTCTACCCAACTGCAAAATGAAACACAAAAGCCTTCACTATTCACTCTGCAGGCTGAATGCAAAAGTTACACGATAATGCATCACTGAAAAGTCTAAGGACTCCCTCAGCCCAGGGGCTGCATCCTGACTGGGCCCAGTCCACGGCATCCGGTGGCACGGAGGACACTAGTGTCCCCTGGGCTGGCTGGGATGGACAGGAATACCTTATGCCAACCTCCCGCGGGTCGTCGGGGGCTTAAGCTTTGAGGGAAGGAATGGGACCATCACGTCCAATCGCTTTCCACTCACTCTAACACTGTCCTTACAGCGCGCTGCACTGGAATGGAACCCTTGTGGGCTCAGTGATTAAGAAGGCAGGGCACCCGCAGGTGCGGAGCACACGGGGCCCTTTGGGCTGGGGACGAGGTCCCCGGTGGCTGGCCGAAGGTCCCAGACTAGGCTCGCGCCGCGCCGCGCCTCTGACTGCCCGAGAGGCCCAGGTCTGGGAAGCAGAAACTCACCGCAGCCCCCCCACCCAGTTTCACTTTCTCTTTGTTCCCTCCCTCCCCTCCCACGGAGTTCTCTTTGAAGCGAGTCCGCGGTGCGGGCGTGTCCGATCCCGCCCCCGCGAGGCTCGGTGCGTGCCCGGCCGGCGTGGCCCCCTTGGCGAGCTTTGCAAACCCGGCGCTCCGGGTTCCAGCGGGTGCGGCCCCTGCACCGACCCCGGCCAGGTGCGTCAAGCTGGGCGCCGGGTGCGGCCGGTGA